GGTTAGGGTTATATATACATATACATATATCGTATTATTGGGCCTAGTTTAAGTTTATTCAGATTCTAAGGCCAATTTTTGTACATTCTATGTATACATAAGTAGTACTAAAATTTGTCAAGATGCCAAGTCAATAATTTTTACAGGTTATGCATACATATAAATTATACTTCAATCTGACATGATTCTAACATCATTTCATTGTTACTCTTTGATTCTTAGTCATGATATTGTACATTTTATGTATATGTAAGTTATACAATATTTAGGTGTTGAATCCAATGCAAAAAATCTGTACATTTCTAGTATACAAATATTCATTAATGAACTTGTATAAAGTGTGTATACAAATAATGTACTGCTGTTTTCGTGTATGTATGAATTTTGTATACATATAATGTAGACAATTTCAAAAATACAGAATATGTATACAATTAATATACTATTGGGGCGTACAATTTGGTAAGGGATAACACGGCACAGGACTTATCAGGACTAAAAACAACTGACGACAAATGACAAACATTGAATCATTGGGGGAGGGGTTAGCAGAAGAGCCAGAGCAATATTTTCCTACACTGTATCGTGTCTGTACATTTTAATTTTCAAAAAATCTGTCAACATTTTTTTTTTGCAGAACATGGCTTGCAATTTTGCAACTCTTTTGGTGTGTAACATGTTTTTCAACAATTCTTCCAGGCACCCGCATGATATCAAATGGTCGACCCCTTAATTATTCGCTTCAAACTACGCATGACATGCACACATTACAAAGACAGGTGATTCATCGTAAACAACAAGATGACGTCATGTCCAGGCACTTGTAAATACTGGAATTTCCAAAAGTTATTTTGAACACCATGACATGCACACATTACAAAGACAGGTGATTCATCGTAAACAACAAGATGACGTCATGTCCAGGCACTTGTAAATACTGGAATTTCCAAAAGTTATTTTGAACACCTTCACAAACTTTGAAGAGCACTGGGACCGAGATGAAAAATTCTGCAAAATTTGAATGCATTTGAGTGAATAAGTCACAAAAAAAAACACAGAGCAATACAGTATTATTATATATATAACCAGTATATACATTAGTACTACTCACTGTGATACGGTACCAAATTGTAGAAATCACGGGCAAAATTATGGCAATTGACGTCCTACTTCAGCCACAACAATTCACTCTGTCAAAACATGTA